TCAGTTATTTCTTAAAAATCCAAGAACTCAAGAGAAACACAGACATTGTCCAGTCAGTTAAGAGTAACAAATGGCATTGACAGACATTACCCATATAGGAAGAAAACATGGTACTAAGGTAAGGGGAAAGGCCTGGAGATTACTCAAATAAGCATCAGTGAGTCATCAGGAGCGATGTCTCATAAAACTTTCTCAATAAAGCCTGACAATGCTAGATTCTGAGTCGGCTTGGGCACAACATACTCATCTGCCATTACTGCCTTTCAATAAAAGAACACCTTGCTTGCATAATGTCACTAATGCATGATATTTTCAACCAGTCAGTGTTACCAGGCACATAAGCAGACCGTGCAGTCGATTACAGAGTTCAAAGTAGAAAACTATCAGGAGATCAAAAATGTATTTGAAAATAAAAGGGAAATATTTTAGCCTACTAGCAAGGAACCAGTTAGGGCATGATTGGAGCTGTTCTGTGGAAGAGCTGAGGTCAACTTAAGATATTCAAGTAAATTTATCCCAAAAAATTGGTAATCTTTTGAGTGCACTACTTTTCTATCCACTAGACATTCTGACACTTCTGCAAAATAGCATAAACCATATATAGTGCTCTATTGAGGCCATGGAAAGAGCCTGTCACTACTAAATGCAACCAGGCTAAGAATAATGGGTCAATCACCATAGAAACCTAGTCACACTCAGAGCAAGCCAGCTTTATGAAATCCACATGACAACAAATTACGCCAGACTGAGCCAACTTAGCCTAGCTTACAGTTGTATGAGACAACCAGTAGGAGTAACCCAAAATAACAAAAGCTGTTGTGTTGTAAAGAGAAAAAGAGAATCTTCCTTCATGAGGAAGGCCCTGACACATCTGCACTGTTACATAGTGGTGATCCATTTTAATAACAGCTGGTTTGTATGCATGTTGATGGCCTACCGTTATTAATCAAGTTTAATTACAAAAGAGGGAGAAAAAAGCAGCATCCATTGTACTTTTGTTACTATTGGAGAATTGAAAAATAATTTAACAAGATTAGTTAATTTGGCTAAAATAATGTATGTGTGTGTTAAACCCAAATAATACCTGCCTGTTAAGTGTTAAGGCTTATGTTTTCCCAAGCAGTTTAACTAATATGGACTAGATTTTGAAATGAAATGAGAGCACAGACAGAGCGGATTATTCTTGTCACTGTGCATTTGGGTTGTCCTTGATCTAAGAAGACTATGTTATAATTTTATGTGGCTTGAGCCAGTGAATTCTCCTCATGTAGAAACATGTACTGTATGATAAAATAATT